CCTCCTCTCCCACACTCCCTCACAGAACCATCACCCACGAACCCCCGTCACGTCTGCCTCCTTACATAACAGCTGTCACGTGGGTCCTAGTCTCGCCGCGGCCACTCAGCTCAGACCCTACGTGCCTTATGCCAGAAGCACCGCACAGCTTTGGTCCAGTGTCTGCCCTTTGGTCCGTCCCTCACTAGGGACGACTTTCTGGTGGCTCCGTGGCATCCTGGATCAACAAACGCCCCACAGGACGCACATCAAAACTGTCCCTCTGCCGGCAGCCGTGTCATACACCCCAACCTTAGAGGCGGCCCCCGCTGCTCCCTCTGGGCCACCCCCGCCCAGCCCTTGCGGGAAGCCTTTCCCCACGTCTGGCAGCTCAACGGCTCCCACCTTTAGCAGCGAGGCTGTGAGCCCCTCAAGGCGGTGACAGAAGTAATGGCAGGGAAAGGGATAGTCGTGTGTGCTAAGGACACCGGCCATTGCACACGCCCCAGAACGCCCTATGCTCCTGCTAGACTGTCTCTGAGGTCTGGGCAGTTCCTGCTAAATGCTACCCTTGCTGAATGCTACAATGTAGCACAGTGTTTGCAGAGGCAGCTGAAACTGGATGAGCTTGACCGGGAACCCAACCCAAGGTTAAGTTTAGCCAACTGCCAAGAAGAAATCAACATGTAATTAACCAAATCCAGATAAGTTTAGCCAAGTGCCAAGGAGAAATCAACACGTAATTATCCAAATAGTGTCTGTAAGCCTTAGCTGAACCTCCCTTCCTGAGACGCAGTTTGGGTGTGAATCCGCCTCCTTTACTTGCTGCAAGTAATAAAATGACCCACTCACAGCCTTGTTCTTGACCTTGGGCAACACCCCTTCCTTCTGAGACGACGTCTTTACCAGCAGTGGAATCACACCATGTCCATCCTCCAACACCCTCTCCCACCCGCCACTTTAAACTATCAGCTATCTTGTCTACGGCCACGCCACCCTGAATGTGCCTGATCTCAGCAGGTCTTGGAAGCTAAGCAGGGTCAGGCCTGGTTAGTACTTGGGTGGGAGACCACGTAGGAAGACCAGGTGCTGTAGGAGTAAAAAAATAAAAATAAATAAACTATCCGCCATCTTTCACGTCAAATCACGTTCTGCCTTGTATTTCGGTTTATTTCCCAATTATCCCCTGCCCGTTCCCTGCACCATAAGGCAAGTGGGCCCAGAGGGTGCTTCTGGGATCCAAGGCCTAGCGGCGCCTAGACCATCACAGACACCGAGAACTTCCACAGGCCGCCTGCACACGACCCTACAAAAGCTAATAAAGGGTCACTCCGCGGGCCCCCGGGGGGAACCAAGCTATGTCCCTGGCAAAGAAGAGATGCTCAAGAAACACCTGCTGCATGACATAACGGGAAGGTGAGTGGTCACACTCCACGTGCACCGCTTAACGGCCAGACACGTTCTGAAAAGCACGCGCTCAGATGACTCCGCTATGCCAACGTGAGCGTGCACGACACACCTGGGCTGCGTGGTCCAGCCCACTGCTCCTGACTGCCAGCCTGGACAGCCAATCACCGTACAAAACAGCGCAAGACGCGATCAAGCACAAGAGAACGATGCCATCAGCAGACGCAGCACACACCTGTGCGAGGCGAGGCTGCGGCCGGTAACGCGCACGCCGCTTCGCAGCACTTCCCCCCCCACACCCCCAAGCAGGAAGCGCGCGCCCTAAAACAATGATGAAAACATAGCCCTGCAAGCACATAAACCAGTAACATGGTCACTCGTTATCAAGTGCGACGCACCGAGCATAATCGTGTGCTTTACTTGTACACGGCTGGCAGCGCAGGAGAAACGCGCTGAGCTACAGCGCTAGGATGGCTATGAGGTCACTAGGGTCCTGACGTCATAGCTCCACTACCGCCCTGCCGCACCACCCAGACGTTATGTGGCACATGGCTGTGAAGGGTGGCAGGGTTCCTCTGAGAGGCAGTGGGCTTTGCTGGACTGAGTCGCTCCCAGCCCAGGCCGCCCCCCGCG